GCCGGCGGCAGCGATGGCTTTCGAGGCGCTGGCCGAGGCCGCGGAGCGCTGGTGCGCCCGGACGCCCTTCCAGCTCATCGCGGCCGAGGAGACGGAGCGGCGCATGGACTTCTACGCCGAGCCCGGCGTCTCCTTCTACGTGCTCTGCCCGGACGCCGCCTGCGGCGACAGCTTCGTGAGTGCCCCCCGCCCCCCGCCATGCCCTGCTGCCGCCCCGCGGCCCCCGCCGCGGCCCGGGCACGGGGCGCGGGGCGCCCGAGCCCCCAACCGGCAACATGGAGGCTGGGGGGGGGCGAGGGGGCAGTGGGCGCAGAACGGCCCCCATCGCCGCGGCAAATGGAGAGCGGGCGGGAGGGCGGCCATAAAATGGAGTCGGGAAGCGGGGCTGCCCCTGCCCCCCGCGCGGACCCGATCCCGGTGCCGATCCCGATGCCGATCCCGGTGCCGGTCCCGGCAGGTCGCGGGCCGTTGCTCCCCGCGGCCCCCAGGGCCCCACAGCGGCGCCGCCGCGGCCGCGGGGCTGCCTCGGCGCGGCTGCGGTGGCCGCGCACACGCGAGCTCAGCTTTGCGCTTCTACACCTTCGTCTTACAGACTGGCGCCTTTGTTTTAATCGCTCCTAGCGCAGGGCGTTACTGCACAAACGTTGTCGCCCCTTCCCATCCTGGAGCAACTTTCCAGGGGAGCATCCCTGGGCGAGCGTTCCCGGAGCAGCAGCGGGGCCCGACGCAGCTCAGCCGAACCCTGTGCCCTACAACCACATTTTCCTTCTTTTTTTCTCTTTAAATGTTTTTATGGCAAATGTTTTCATCCCAGGGCTGCTCCATGCCTGCTCAAAGCTGTCCATTGTAAAACGGAGTGACTGCTGTCAAATGCAGAGCGTCAACAGCAGGAAAACCGGAGCCAGGGGCTTCTCCTGCCCTTTCAGGAGTAATTACCTGAGGCACTTTTTTTTTTCTTTTTTTATTTTTTGGTGGTGTAGTAATAATACTCTTAAGATAGGCAGATAGGTGTTGTTCTTAATTCTTTTCCTGCCGATGGTGTCTCTTTAATGTGATTAAGGGCCACTGATGAGCAGATCCACCAGCATCTTGTTTGCTGCCCCTAGTCTGCTGTGGGGCTTCTTTTATGCTCCCAGCTTGACTACCTTGCTTTCCTGAAAGACATTTTTGTATTGTTGTTTTCTTATAGTTTTGGAAGATATTCTGCTTTCTGCCAGCACATACAGGCTAAATTTTATTTTATGGAATCTGAGTGCAAGCAAGGAATTGATCCTCCATTGCACTTTAGCCTTGTTTCCTGGCCCTGGTAATGTGAAGGAGCGTGAAAGTGAGAGTAAATATAAACACTTTATGGTCTTTTTATGCCCTCTGAATCTGATAAAGAGGCCTCACATTCGATAAGCATCTGGGCTTGATATTCCCTTTCTTTACGTGTTCATTTCATAATAAGGTGACTTAAAAAGCAACGTAGGAGGTGCCAGAGAAGTCCATGATAACTCCCCACTTGTAAGGAGGAAATGAGGAACATGACGAACTTAGAAGGGAGGAGGAGAAAGACATGGAAAGGTTGCCAAGAAACAATCCGGGGGAGAAAAACTTTGCATCCTGTGCTAAATCAGACATCACAAAAGTCTTATAATTTTGACTTCAAGAAAAGGTACCTTTGGGCCACGTCCTTTCGCCATGCTAAGGATGCAAAGGATGCATCTAGGTGCCTCCAGACTTTTTGAGAACTGCCGGTCACCTAAACCTGACTGCATCAGCAGTAAATAAATGCATCAGCATTTTATTTAGCTAAATTATGTATAATTTAGCTTCTGAGGCTTATGCTATTTTCCTCCAAAGTTTAACTGAACTTACTGTATAGCCATGAACAACGTGGTGGGGAGTGAGATGCTATTCCTTTACCGCCCGTTTTTTTATGTCACCTCATTGATATTGATAAAGCAAATACAAAGGTTGTGCCACCTTGTTGCAGGATTTCCTGTAATATATTGGGTAGGAAAGGGTCATCTAGGGAGTGACCAAGTCACCTAGCAGCACTCCGTCCTGTCAAAAACAGAGGGAAGGCGACCAAGCCGCGTTGTCCACCAGGTTGCCCCCGACCCCTTCCCCCTGCAAAGAGACACTAAGGCACCAAGGGGTTTCCCAGGAAAGGCCTCTCCATCCTCTCCGTCCATGCCTTTTCCCTGAGTGCTCCCAAGCAGGAGCTGAGCCCTCAAATTACATTAGTTTTGTTATTTCCAAGAGGCCAAGTTCCTTCCTCCGGGGATGCGTGAGTCAGAGCGGAGCCGTTCAGCTCCCGCGCTGGCTCCACGCAGCGCCCACAGCGCTGCAGGTGCTGCGGCACTGGGCTTTGCTGTGGCCGAGCTGCTTTTGCCTTTCAGGAGATGAAATCAAACCATTTCCAAGCGGGAGACAAGTGCCAGGGCGCGTGAGACCTTCCGTAGCAGGCTGTTCCTGTAGCCAAAGCTTTAAATCTTCTGCAGATGTGGAAGCTGTTGGAAGCCTTACATGTGTCTTGCTTTACCACGCTACAAGAAAACACATCTCTCTCTTCGAAGGCTAAAAGATCGAGTAACTTGTTTGGTTTTTTCCCCTCAGGTGCTAGTTCATCTTGTTTGAGCTGCTGCCGGCAAAATGTTGTGGTCCAAATTGTGCAGTTTGGAAAGTGGTTCTGTTAAAACGCCAGCGGAGCACAGGGTTAAGTGTCCCTGGGGGACAAACTAGCTGTAATTCATCCTTTCAAAAAGTGGCAATGTCTGGTTTTTGCTTTAAGACAGAAGCCCCCGTGTGTAGCTCTGGTAGTCCAAAAAAGCTGTGATTTTACAGCAGAATCAGAATGTTAAGGCATAACCATTTTTAATGGATTGTGGATAAACAACTGCAAAAAGGGCAGGACAACTCATGAACTGCCAGTCCATAAAATCTAACTCTTAAGTTTGTCTCATAAGGGCTGGAAGTAATAAAAGGGTTATTACTAACCTCAAGTATTAAGAAATCATGAGTCAGGCCTCCAAAATCTCAAGGCTGTTCTTATAACATTGCGATTTTAAGAAAGTTCATTTGGTGTTTTAAAGAGGGTTCATTTGAGTTCATTTAATGTACTTTTTGCCTTTTTAGGCCACAGAAATCACAAAGTCCTGTTTTTTTTTTTCTTCTTTGTTTGTTTCTGGGGTGTTCTTTTTTGTAAACAAAAGCTGAGATTTGATTGTGTATTTATAGGACTGCAAGGCCCACAACTGTAAGATATCATGAAATATCATGAGACTAGTGGTATGTATCTGTGAGAGCTGTCAAGGCTGTAAATAACTTAGTTTTATTGCTGGAATGGTAAGAGATGTTACTGGAGACCACGGAAAGAGCAGAACCTATTCAGTCAGACAGCTTTTTTTTCTATTTCTCTACATTTTTGCTTGCCCGATGCAACAGGCAGTGAAGAAAACGGGGATCTAGTGAGGTTAGTGGGAAGATGTTTATCCTTTTTGTCCTAAAGAGGCAGGTGTGGTGTATTTTGCATCATGTTTTCTTCAGCATTACCAACAACTCTGCACCGAGCCCCGTTTTCAGGGTGGCCTCCGCCATACGCTGGTACCCAAGAGATGCTTTGCCTCTTTCCGAGGGCTTTTTTTGCAAGTGGTGATGCAGAAGCAGAGAAAACTCGGCTTGGCTTCCAGCCAGGCAGGGCTAGTGCCCAAGGAAAGCTCCTTTCCTCATGACAATGTGTGTGCTCGCTGTTCCCCACCAGTACAATCACGGGAAGCCTCCGGTGGGTGATTGGTTTCCCCATGTTCCGATTCACTGCGTTAATAAAATCAACCCCCTTCCCCTGAGTGCTGCTTTCCCAGCGTTGCCCCTCGCCTGGCCTTGGAGGTAACGCAGCGGCCTGTGCACGATGAGGATGGCAACTGCAGGGCCGGGTGCTCAGCCCACGTTGCAACGTGGCACCTTGTAAACACCACGTGGAAGGGTCCTTGCAAGCGCCCACTAATGCCTTTCCCTCCTTCCCTCCTTCCCTCCTTCCCTCCTTCCCTCCTTCCCTCCTTCCTTCCCTCCTTCCCTCTGTTGCCGTTGGCCTCCAGCACGTGTGGAGCGAGAGCGAGGACTGCCTGCCCTTCCTGCAGCTCGCGCAGGACTACATCTCCTCCTGCGGGAAGAAGACCCTCCATGAAGTACTGGAAAAAGTCTTCAAATCCTTCAGACCTGTGAGTGCCTCTTTATTATTATTATTACTATTATTATTATTTCAGATATTCCACCCCACCCAGGCCAAATTGGGGCATTTAGATTTTGCCATTAGAGTGGTTGCAGCTTCAGACTTGGAAATGCTGGTTTAATCCCTGCTTGGGAAGAGAGACCAGAGTGGACGCTGGGTGTTGTAGGGAAGGGGGCCTGTATCTGCTCCTGCTCAACCTCCTCTCTTCTCGCCGGACACTCAGGTTTGGGCTAAAACCTGTGTTTGCTCAGGGTGAGGTGGGTTTGTTAGGTTGGCCGTAGTCCTTCCCGGGCTCTTGGAAGGCCAAGGAGAAGGCGGCAATTTTTTCCCAAGAATTTGGAGCAAAAGGGAGGGCCTCGGGTGCTGATGCAAAAACATGAGGCCTCCCTGTGTTCCCTGTTACACCCTTGTGTTGCCACGAACAGCCACAGCTGGCTCACATAAAAGAACATCATTTTAGAGAGTCCTTTGAGAGACTGAAAATAAATCGAGCAGATGCACACACTTTTCTTAGAAAGGACTGGGAAGCTGATCCATCAGTACAGCTGCTTGTAATTGTGCAAACATACAAAAATATAAATATGTTTCCCAGGATGACGTTCAGCTCTTGAATCTTCATAACTCTTTTCTCCTACTCAAAAAAGCTGTGCCTTAGAGGAGAAACTTCCACTAGTTTAACTAAAGAGGTCATTGCAAAGACTTAATTAAACTGGCACAAATTGCTTACTTCATTTCAAGATATATTTACTTCAGTGTAACTTTAGCTGAGGAGAAATTGGCTTCAATGAAACCATGTTAAGCTACTCTTAAGAATAAGAAGATTCAAAGCTAGAAGAGCTGACGTGGTACCTTAGTTTGAACCCTTCCCTAAAATACAACAGATTTCACCCAGTGATTCCCTCAGACAAGCATGCACGTTGTGCTTGAGCTAGAGCATCTTTTCAAAAGGCACCCGGTCTTGCTTTAAAGACTTAGGTAACTTAAAAGCTACATCACTGCTGGGCATTTTTTCTTCCAATTATTAGTTACACTCAACTGGAAAAAAAAAATCTAATCTGAATTTATCTAGTTCTGCTTCCTCAGTGTTGAATTTTGTTATGCTTTCGTCTGCTTGAGAACTATGCCCTCAATTACCAGAGACTATACTATAATCAAGCACCTCTTCATTTTCTCTTGGATATACTGCTTCAGTTTTCCTGGCTTTTCTTTAACCTCCTGTCAAGAGATTTGCATTGGTCCAGTGAAAGCAGCTTTGTCATTCAGTGCATGGTTCTGTGTAGACAAGTCTAATAAGAAACGTATCGACATTTTTCTCAATTGTTATAAAAAAGTAGGATAGCTTTTGAAAATTGCAGTGTGTTGCAACAGCTATAAGGAAAAGTAATATCCTCTCATGCATTTGCCATAAAAAATAAATAAATAAATACAAAATCCACAAAAACAAAGACCACTTTTCTATCCGTGCTGGATGATGATTCCCCTGGCATTCCTTCCCTCTGCTCGCCGTCGTTTCTGTTTCAGACCTGCTTGGTTACTGAAGTCGGCTCAGTGTGCAGGTGGAGGTAGGAGTGCGTGGGCAGTGCAGTTCTGCTCCACTCTCCAAGGGCCTCTGTCAAACACTGGTCTGGCAAATTTCAGCTTAAAGACAAAAGAAAAAAGACAGTTTAGGAAAATAGTTGATGAAGGTCAGATCATGCTCTTCTAAAGTGCCTAATGATGCTGGATGCTCAATTTGGGATATGGAGAAGGAGCCAGATTTTTTGAGGATTTGGTTGCTAAGCACTTTCCAGGAGTCTCTTCCACGATGGCATTTCCAGCCTGACATCCAGAATTATTGGGCAGTCTGGAAACCATTGCTGGGGTCCGTGGAGGAGCAGTGCTGAGGCAGCGCTGGCCATGGCCCATGTTCCCGGCCCGTGCCCTTCCTTGCGTGGAGGCTCTTGGCTGGGTTTGCAGCGGGCACCTCGGCGCATCCCAGCTCCATGCACACGGGAGCAGCCGTGTCTGTGTCCCAGAGCTGTGGCTGAGCAAGGGGGTGGCAACTGCTCCCAAGGGATCTCGCTGCCAGCGCATCTGACGGGATGAGCGGGCAACGAGGCGGCAAGCCAGGGGTTGCCCACCAGCCCTCACTTCCACAGAGCTGTGCCACTTGCCTTGCTCGTGTTTATTCAGGGAGTATCCAAGAGCACTAGGCAGTACTCCAGCTTGGAGAGCTTTTGTACGTGCACCTGGGGCCAGCTGCCTTCCCGCTGGCATGGGGGAGGAGAGCCCCGCTCCGCTCCTCTTGGAGCGGGTGCTGCGCTTGGAGCGAGCGCTGCCGTGTCTCCCGTGCGGCGGGCAAGTGCCCGCGAGGTGCTGCAGAAGAGCAGGGCTCTGAGGGCTCTCCGGATGGCTCCAGGAAGGTTGTGAGCATTGCCTGCTGTACGAGGAAATGCCTCTCGCTGCATGTCTTCTGTCTGGAGAAAGGAAAGAGAGTATTATCCGTTGTTTCAAATGTGAGATCAGCTTCTGAACCTGGTTCTAGCGAACACTTATTGTCTGCCATCTAAGCTCACTGCTTCCATGCTTTTTTGCTGCCCCTTGAGGAAACACTATTGACATCAGTGTGTCCCAGCTCCTCAGGAATGCTTGTTTCTGTCATAACATTTCAGTGCCTGGGAGCAGGCAGAGGTGTCCGTGCTTGCACTTCTAGGCCCATCTGCCTAGAGATTCGTTGCTTCACACCAAGATTCAGCATGGCCACGTTATCTCTGTTATGCACTGCTAAAGCAGTGACATCCCTCCAAAGAACTGCCTAACAGACAGATAACTTGGCCTGCAAAAATAAATAGGGTTGGGGCTGTCTTTCCCTCACTTCCTCACCATCTCCTTGTGCATCCTGCCTGGCTGGTGTGCTCTCCCTGCCCCTTTGGCTCACAGATCTGCTTTCTTTGCGCACTTTGTGTTTTGCCTCTTTCCTCCTAATTCGTTACTTTCCATTAAGCTCCATTCAGTCTGCTCCATAGCTGTTGCTGGAAAGCACATGACAAATACAGCTTAGAAGCAGAAACTCTGTTTGAAAGAAGACTATGTGGGAGTCAGCCCGGGATCACCCAGCACCACCTTTACTATCTCGTTGTGCCCCCGGCTTTATCCTCCCTCCTGCTGTTTTGGTGCAGATGTTTGCACAGATGTGAGCACTTTGGGCCTCGGTCCTTGCTGGGGTCAAATCCTTGGCTGTTTTGCCCCTGCAGTGCAGAAAATAAGGAATGGTGGTGGGAGACCCTGTGGAGCTGATGGGATCTCATTATGGACCTCATTATGGATCTCATTATGGGGTCATTATGGACCATGAGGTCTCATCAGCTCATGAGCCCGTGGGTGCTCAGGTACAGAATAGGTTCCTTTCCTGTACTGGCCATTTCCTTCTCAGGATCAGTGCTGTTTGTATATATTTATGCAGTGCTAATTTTACAGGGGTAAGACAGCATCCCATAAAGCGAAGGCGAGACTCTTACTCATGTGGCTCCTTTCCCAGCACATCAAGGAGGAATTATAACTAGAGCTGGACAGGAAAAAAATAGAAGTCATCAAAGCCCTTTCTGCCAAACTGAGCAATGCAAGACACAAATTTAATTTGAATACACTGAATCAATTTAGACAAAGAAAAATACTGATGGATGAAAATGCCCAGAGGCCTTGTTTTTGCATTTAAAGAGCTGCATACTTTAATTTTAGCTTCCAAATGAAATGAAACCCCCAGATTCTGAAAATGAACTCCGTAGGTTCACATTCCTGATTTGAAAAAAATACAAATAGGATTTTTTAGTCTTTTTTTGCCTGGTAAGAAAACAAGGACGTTTTCAACTTGGGGTCTCTCCAGAAGTATTTTTAAAATACGAAGGAGGGGGTTTAGTCAGCAAATTCTCCTTCCAGTTCACTGCCAAAATACCCAACAACACAAAAGCTGCTTTTTTCATAGTGCCAGTAAAAAATACAACTGGGCCCGGAGACTCGTTCCGTGTATTGCATTTGTATCCACTGGAGCATTTTGAAATGGTGCATTTAGGAAAAAATGCATTTAGATCCTTAGGAATCAGCCTTGTTGCCACCTTCTCATTTTCATACTAGGGAGCGTTGCCCTCACCCTCTTTTTTCTGTGTTTTGTCTCTTTTGTGAGGGAACAGCTGTGTTGCTCTCCAAACAGGGCCTTGCATGAGCCTGCACCGCCTGCTCAGCTAAATGCCCCGTATTCCCAATAAAGCCTAGCTTATGGTTTTGCTCAGGAGGTATTAATAGCAGCTTATGTAGGATCCTCATAAGAGATTTCCAGAACAGATGCCTTAGTTTGACTGTTATTTGGTTTATCTGTCTCTGGCTTGTGTTGGCTTGGCAACCTTTTGGAGGAGAGGGGAAAAGTTCAACCGTTTGTATTTGCTGCTTTGCCTGTAGCCAACAAGGGCTGTGGTAGAAATGTGGGACATCAGAGTGGCAGCATCTAAGCGTTGTTCGAGGAAGATGGATTGGCAGGTTTTCAGGAGTCCAAATCCAATTTGAACAAATCTAAAGGGAATTGGGCAACTCTTGAGTTGAGTTTCTCACTGAGCTCACTACACCCAGTGTGCAGACCTTCACGTGGAGCAATGGAGGGAAGGGTTCAAGAGAAGAACTCACATGGTAGGATCTTCAGTCTTTAGGGACCCTCTCCCTACCCTGTACTAACCACTTGTCTCTTTGGATGCTTTCTCTTTCTGTCTTTTATAGGGTTTACTGAACACGATTTTAAACTGAGTTAGCTACTGCTACAATATTATCATGGTTCTTTTGGAAGTGAAACCACTGCCAGGTCTAAACACTCATAAAATTGTGATATGACCTCAGGGAAAAACACAAAGCTTTCTGAAAGTGCTTTGCTTTGGTTTTATATATCTTCTGGTCTCTGAGCACTTAATTTGGTGTGAAGCTGCGTTCTCCAGTCTCCCTCAGTCACGTGAAGGACAGAAAGAGTCACGTTTTACTGTTATTCCTGGAATTGGAAGTTTTCGAGAAATGGCATCTAGGCATTTTATGGAGATTGTGGCGAAACTGCACGAGTGAGTAATTCACTGTTACACAGTATTTTCTCTTCCTTGTAGTTGCTTGGGCTTCCAGATGTTGATGACGATGCCTTTGAAGAGTATAACGCAGACGTGGAGGAAGAGGAGCCAGAAGCCGATCACCAACAAATGGGTGTCAGTCAGCAGTGATTTTCCAAGAAGCTAAAAAATTTGGAACCCCTTGGGACCAGGTGGGGGTCCCGTGGTGCCACGTTAGCCTGTTTGAATTAGCGCATCACGCTGGGATATCGGGCTCCCGGGGGAAAAGTCTTAACAACGGTTAAACAAACCACCCAAGCAACCTGTGATGAGCTTTGCTGAGAAGTGACCTGAATTTGGCTCCTGCTTCAGCGGGGTTTCTCTGGAGTTGTCTTGGTAGCGTTCTGCCACTGTCAGTTTAGAAGTAGTTTCGTTGCTGACTGTCTCCTTGGTTTGTATTAGGGGATAACATTCGCTGGCCTGAATGTGGAGAGCTTTGAATGTAGGAGCTGTTGGATTGGGGTGCTGGGTACTCACGTGTGACCTTACTGAGGAAGTTAATGCAGAGGAAGTGCAATCCCTGCTTTTTTTTTTGTTCAACCACTTATGATTTTTTTGACTCTATCCTACCAGGCAAAGTACTGCACTTTGAGAGCTTTCTTCTCAAAAACACTAGTTTAATAGTGGCCAGTACTGCAGAAGTGCACATAGAAGCTGCAGGAAAATAAGGGGAAGTGGGAAATCCATGTGGAGGGCTTGTATAAGACACATAAGTGTCATTTTACTAGCACTTGAATTTCCAAGTGCTGGATTTAATCACGGGGCGTAATGAAAGCTCTCATCAACCACACACATTACAAGCAACCTCATTACTTTGACACCATTCAGTCTAAAGCCAAATGCTGTTTTGGGACAAATTGAAGCAATTGAAAATCCCCATGACATATCCCACTTCTGCAAGAAAACCACCTTTAAACTTTGCTGATTTTACTATGTTGATAAATTATTATTCCAATCTTGCATCCTCCCGAATTGAAGTGCAACTGAACTTTGAAGCCATAGGGTTGTAAACCAGCACCTGGCTCTTGAAATTACACTGGACTTCTTCCTCATGCTGGGCCTCGGTGTAAATAGTCTGTGACCTAGCCTGGGCATTTACACCTCTTTGGAAGAGAGCTAAACACTACCCAAGCAGAAAGGCAAGACCTGTCTCTTAACAGTAAGGCCGCTGTGTTGCTTTGGAGAGGTAGAAAAGCCTCACGGGCACCACAGAGGTCACTCACAACCACTTTGCAGCCCCTTTGCTGCCAGGCTGCAGTCGATATGAAAGCTAGTGAAGCAGAGGGTTTTCTTCAGCTGGGCCTTGCTCCCCAGAGTGATTTGAGGGGGTCTTGGTGTGAGGGGGAATAAGACCCTTCATATTTTATACCTATTTTGCATAGATTCAAATAATTCCAATGAGTGCCAACTGGTGAGGATACAGGGTCTCTTTAATTACTTGCCTTTTGTACTGAAGATGTTAGAAACTAAGAGGTTCCTTTGGGATGCAGCTATTTTCCTTAGTGAAACAGAATGTTTCTAGATTTATGCGATTTTTCCAAAGTTTTTAAAATCGTGAGGTGAAGGTCACATGCTCCAAAAGCCCTTTTATAGGGAATTATCTTCAACAAAACAGAATGTGAATGAAGAGAAAATACTTGGACAACTCCCAGAAACAACTTGCACCGTATTGAAAACCGTTGCTAGCAATGTTTCCTTTCCAGTAGGTTTTTAAGAGATTTTATTTTCCAGGTTGTTAAAGGGGATAAGTTCTCTCGGTGGTGTGCGTTTCTGCTGAGGGCCGGAGAGATGCGTAGCACTTCGTTTTGTGCAACCTGAGGCAGAGACCAGGGTGCTCTTTGGTAGCCGAGGACGCACCAAAGGGTCTGCAACACCATAGAAGTCTGAGCTTAAGAACACTGCAAAAGGGGAAGGGGAGCAGCCCTCGAGCTCCCCTTGCACGTCCTTCGGGCATGCCGGCGCACGCGCCATCATCGCCACACGTTGCCTACGGGCCGGTGACGTGAGGACTGTGGCAATTCTTTGTGTAACACTGTACAGCGGCTATAGGCTTTTTGCTTGCTAAAATGAAGTGCAAGACCAGTGTTTTCCATCCCTGCTCTAAATCCCTGAAGGGGGGTTTATTATTTTTATTTTTTCCCCTCTCCAGCTAAAAAGGATGCCATAGTCTTAAGCGGAGTCTTGCTTTAGAGCCGTCTTCCTCATTGCATCCAGTGCTTTGATTGCAGCTCGTCTGAGTAGATCCGTGGAGGGGCTGGATTTCAAGGCAGACCCTGGTGCTCAGGCTCGCAGCTGCGTTCGCCCCTTTGCGCAGTGGCCGAGCGGGCACGTGCCCACACACACGTGCAAGGCCCAGCCTGCTGCCCGGTGCCCGTGTCCTGCTGCTCCCGCCCTTCCCACTGGATCCTCACATCCCGGGCCGCGCCGCGCACTGGAGCTGGCCATACCCTTCCGTGGTTTTCCTGGGAGGCGGCTTTTCAGCCAGACCGGGATGTGATCCGGGGATGGAGCAGGGTGGAAATGTGGAGCCTGGGGCTCCTTGTCCCTTCCTGGCGGTGCTGCGGATGTGGCTGAACAGGCCTAAGTGCTGTTAGGAGTCCGGCCCACAAGCCTAAAGGTGGTGGAAAATCAGGCCCTGGATTATGGTGGGACAAAGCAGGAGTTAATGGAATGGGAAGAGACTAGGAGATGCAGTGCTTAGTAATTGCCCACAGATTATGATGTATACTGCACTTTGCTACTTTTGCCTGCGTTTTGATTGATGTGTAAATGATGCGGTTGAGCATTAATATGGTTGTAAGCAAACATAAAGCTGTAAATTATGTAGATAAATTATTTTCTGTATTAATTAACTTTTGTTTTTGGGATGCCACATGCCACGTGGGTGATTTCCACAGCAGAAGTGCTCCATAGCACAGGGGGGATCCTTCTGCAGCCCCCGCTGACGCAGCCGTCCTGCTGAAGACAACAAGGGGCTGGTCCAAGCGAGGGCTGCAGGACCAGCCCCTCCGGAGGGCTCCCAAGGTTTGGTCCTGCAAAGAGCTCTTGGCTCCCATCGTGTTGCCAGCGGCTGAGCGTGTTGAGCCCCACTGCTGAAATGGAGCACTGCGAGGCAGCATTACACTGCGGTGTTATACACAGCACATTTTAATGTACATGTGTATGAATTGTGACTGAGCATTAGTATAGAATGTATTTTATCAAAAGAAAAAGATACTGATTGCTTAGGCCTTGACCAAATATGTTTCTGTGTTATCGCCTTACTCGCTCCATACTCACCGAATGATGCAAGAAACCATTTCAGTGGTATCACAAGGTATATTTCATTTGTATTTCATTTTTCCCTCACAGCCATTCGGCCACCAGCTGGGGCAGCGTGACCCCGTGGCCAGGCTGCCCCACGGCGACACGGGTTTTGCAGACACGTGTGGACACCTGCTGTTCTTGGACGGAGGGAGGAATTTGGAGTCAGAGCTCTGAGCTCTGGGTACATCTCAGAAGCTGGGATTCCGAGCAGCCTCTGGGAATTACATGTCCAGGCCTCCAGGAAATCCAGTGGGAGGGGGGTAGCTCCTTTGCAAATCCAGTCTTAAGCCCTGTTGGAAAAGGGGCCAATTGTATTTGCCCACCTGTGTCTGAAGTGCTTTTAGATCTGACCGTGGAGAGATGCATTATCGTTGCCTATCCCCAAAGTGAGGCATTAGCTAAAGGACACACGTGGGTTCCCCTTCTCCTCCCATGCTCTTCTCTCATCGACATTTCTCATTCTAGCTAAATACAGCCCTGCTGGAGCAGGGGCTCTTGCAGAGCTGGCACATTTGAGAGTGCGCTGCGTGAACGCAGGGAGCTACTGGGGGTTCGGATGTGCACGGGATGCCCGAGGAAAAGAGATTTTAGAAATGCAGCAGCTGTTCAGGTAGCAGGGGCAGGAGTGGAAAAGGAGCCTTTCTGAGAGATGCTGGGATTTCTCAGACAACCTAAACCATCCTGTCAAGGATCTGCTTATTCCCCTATGAGGTTTCTAGAAAGCTGCTCTGTAGATTAGGACCTCTTCCTCAGGAGTGTTTTTATGTTAATGGTTTGGTGAATGTGTTGAGATGGGGAGGGTGCAAAGAAGGGCTGGAGAAAAACCTTTCTTCCCTAGCGTTATTATTCACGATACTGCCTGAGTATATGAGGAGCAACTACTGGGGAACAGGAAGCTGCTTTATTAGGTGCTGAATAAAGATCTCCCAAGGAACCTGCTCGTGATGTAGACAACCAATTGGAGAGACCAACTTTGCAAATTGCTTCCTAGCAGAAATTGGGGGGGAGGGTAACATGCCCCACAGCATGCTGACCCTGACCCCCCTAGGCTCCTCCAGCTCAGCCTAGCTGTGCCTTGGGGAGCTGCACGCTCATAGGAATATTGCTTCTCGTGGGAATGGCCATTAGCATTTCTGCTGCCGTGGCCTGGAACGGAGGCATGGGGCAGTGCAGAGGATTCCCTGCTCCAGGTTGCTTAGGAGGTGGCTGCCTTCTCCCTCTCTGGAGGGTGCGATGGGAGAGGGGAAAATGCACTGCAATGACCTCATGTACATTGCTTTGGAAGACTGCCTTGTGGGACTGACCCTCAGCCTCTTGCAACATTTTTCCGCCTTTCACTAGGAACGCGGGGGTGAACGAAGCCCATGGCCATCACTCGCAGTCAGAGTTGGCTGTGGCGAGAGACGAGGCTGCTCCTTTGTCCATCCATGCTGCCCCCTTCTCAGAAATTCCTGCCTGCAGAAGAGGGGAAGCCAGGAGAGGAGAAGGAAACACTATGGGCTCCCTGCTCACAGCTGGGTGCGTCCACATGGAGCGCGATCCGGCGCTGCGCCGGTCACCGGCCCTCAGGCCTTGGTGGGCTTCTGAGCCCTGCTAATTGCATCGCTGGTGTCTGATCCCTGGGTTTTCTGGGCCACTTCAGCATGACAAATTGTCCCTAATTTGCTCTGGATTTGATTCCTTTCTCATTGCTGTGTGTTTTGGAGGGGGCAGGACAGTGCTGAAAAGAGCATCTGCACCACTACAAGCCCCACTTTCTACAGAGCCCCCCAATGTTGCCCTGTCCATAAGAGCCCGGTGACAAACTGAAATTCGCAGGTCAACAGCAAGGCTCTTCGTGCACCTGCAAAGCAAAACCTCCCCTGAACTGGTTTTTACTCACTGTAGCTCACTGGCTTTGTGTAAAATATACTGGACATCTGAAATTCCCGCTCTGTACTGGCCTGCTGTTGTTTACGTAGGCAAAGACCCATGGTATCTTTACAGGTTAAGGACATTATCTTCATGTTTTGGAGTGTGGACATGTCAGCTCTGGATTTCAGTCAATACAATTTTGTTGCTGTCAAGTTTTCCTTTACTAATACTAATACTAAAGTACTAATATTTTACTAATGCCACGCTAAGTCCTCAGCACGGCAAGCAGAAATAAAGTCGCGCTGTGCCACGCAAAGACATGTTGTTGCACTTTCCACCCTTTTTCCCTCTGGAAGATCTCTCTGCAACTACAAAGCTGTGAAGTGCGTTGCCAAAAGATGTTGCCCTTTGCTCAGTGTTTTAAGGGGTCTGGGCTTTCCCTGGAGCCCTGCCTGTCCTCCCGCTTCTCCTTCCTTCCCCAGCACGAGGCAGCAAGGCCAGCAGTGTAGTTACACCACACGCTTGCATTAAAGAGCTTAACAAACTTGGGGGGCTGGTGGATTCTTCACTCTGTGAGCAAAATCAATGAAAACAGGGATTCCAGTGGCGTAAAACACAGCTTTGAAATGTGTGGCAAAGCTTTACCTCCTGAGCAGTCTCAGCACATGGTGGGATAAATGCAGTGTTTGCAGGTGTAAGGAAGGGAAAATGATTTCAGCTAAGCTGTGGATACTGCACGTTAAGCCGTGGTTTGCATTCAGGCTTGCCAAGCCTTTCAGCTGAGTGCAATCGGAGGCTGTAGGTTTGCTGTCAGAACATGGGAATTAATGGGATCCTGGTGGAGACGCCAATATTTCAGACCTCCCATGTCCTCTTCTGTTCCATGCAGATTAGGGAGACATCTGTTCTAATTAAGAGACATGTAATAATGTTGAAATGAAAATTGGTGGTTCTGTTCTGCTGATTTGCCTCGCTTCTTCAAACGCAGCACTGTTAATTGCCACTTTTGACATCTTGTTGCCCTGATTTAGTCCAAGGAGTACTGTGCCAGTCCTTAGCTTTTGTAGTGAGCCTACTTCTGTGGGCTGAAGAACATTTTTCTTCAAGCCCGTGGAAGAACAAGTGCTCTTAGTGCTTCACGTGGTGTTTTGCTCGCCACAGCACGAGCATGGTCATGGTAGGAGCAGTGTGCCAGCAATATGTGCCCCGTGCTGTGTCCAGAGCCAGCAGTGAAGGCTCTGCAGCCATTCCTGCAGCTCCTGGTACGTCTGCCAGGGCTGATTCCCCTCTCTTGGGAAGCGGTTCAGGCAACACAAGCTCCATAACCTCTTCTGCTTATCCTGGCAGGTGTTGTGACAGCGAGGCTGTGGGTGCTGTCCCATCAGCTTCACAGCACTTGGGGAAGAGGCGAAAGTCACGGCTTGTCCTCGGTTCTTTGAGGTCCACAGCATCTGCTGAATGGACTTCTCCCTGTTTCTGATGTTCAAGTGAACTTAAACAGTTTAAATGGTAGGTTTCTGCTAATATGGCCCTCATCTGAGGGTGAACAAGCTGCCTTGCAGACACATCTGAGAGGCTGGAAAGCTCCTGCAGGAGATGCTGACTGCAGCTGGGGAGCACTCCTCTTCTTACAGAGCTCTCATCATGGTCTCCGTACTGAAGAGCTCCTCCAGAGTTACATCACTTTCCTCTCAGTGTCAACAAATGGGGCTGTTCCAGGGCTGTGATGCATTTTGGTGTAGCATCAAGAAGAAAAACTCCATTAGAGGCCTATAGCTTCTGTTCATGCCTAATGCATTGCCTTCCACCACAGCTGTCATCTAGCAGAGTCAGTGGCAATGTAGAGCTACCCCTCCTTAGCTATTTTAAGGAGCCCATCAAAATTAACTCTTTGATTACACTAGACTTCATGTTCCATCTCTTCCTCTGTGAAGGGTGTTTGCTTCCACTACTTATTGAGTGAGTGATGAAATGCTGTAAGAAAAAAACACATTTAAGCTTTATTTCCAGGTCTAGATGCCTGGGTGTCTCAGAGTAGGCAACTCTTCCTTGAGTAGGGCTGTAGTTGAGGCACTGTGACCATGTGGAAAAGGCTGCAGAAGGGAGTGATACATTTTCAAAGACAAGTTGGTACAGCACGGGGAAGGAAGCAGAAAAGCTTTCAAACTCCTGAGTGCTGCTTCTTGCTGAAGTAAAAGCAGTGTTTACATGGGGCAGACAGGCAGTAGGTGATACCTCTTCAAGACAGTCCTGCTTTGCCTGTGCACTTTCCTTAAGGCATCATGGCCATAACAGTAGAAGGGACAAAGGTTGTTTTGGCCAGTTCTTTATTTCCAGCTCCCAGCAGTGCTGAAGGGCTCCTAAGTGAATGTCCACTGTGTGACATCTCCTTGACAGAGCTGCGCGAAAGGGTCTGTGGCAAAGGAGCTCTCAAGTTTTTGTGCTTTTGGTCTTTTTTGTAATAGTCCCCTAGAGGTCAGTGTAGTCCAAATTTTGAAGTGACTTGCAGCAGTGATAACCATTGTGTCAATGATGGCAAGGACTTTGCTTCAGGCCTGCAAGACCTCGGTGCTTTGCTCTCTTGCAACCTCAGTTCCTGCTGGGAAAGTGGTTGAACCTGGTGAGGAGGACTCAGTTCGTGGGACAGAAGCCCAGAAGATACAAGCAGCAACATCCACACACTGCAACCCTCTCTGCTGCCCTCACGGGAGAGAGGCTGTGGGGATTTTATTACTGCTGGTGTCCAGAGCGATGTCACCTCGGCGTAATCTG